TTCATTTCGTGTAGATGTGCACCAAATGAAGAATTATGATTCAAGTATTGTTGTCCACCATCGAAATCGACAATCTGAATCAAACATTGGATGAAGTCTGCAGTTGATGTTACATCAAAGGGCATACCGCTCCGTTCAGCCAACTTGCATAGTCTGAGCACATGTATGCGGCAAGGTTAGCAAGTTCTTCCGGCTTTCCTATTCTGCCAACGGGAACTGTAGTCGCACTTGCCGTTTCCATATCTTCTGGTGCCGCCGTTGACAGACGAGAAAACGCTCCCTAAAACAATTTATGTTTTGTTTATGATATCAAACTCTCACAATTGCTGAGAAATCTCAGCTCAAACATTTTCATTTCCATAAATTCTGAATTGATTTGAAGTCGATTCAGATGCATCAGAAAATTTCATATGTTCTTTCCATACCAGACCAAGGCACTGCGGAGACGGTTACAAATGCAACGAACAGGATGAAGAAATCAGTTCATGTGCCTCTGTTTGGCATTGTACTTGAGCATGTAAAGCATCAGCAGAAGTCTGAGCATTTTGCTTTTGAAATTTTATGTATGTGGTCACTTTCCAGTTTCACTATAATATCTTGGTACGTATATATCTTCTTGAGCATTTAACAGAGATTTTTTCGTTCTTGTAGCCTACTGTACTGGTCTGGAGAGGAAGAGTTAGGTCGCCCTCAAACTTTGCCCTCGCGGACATCTGCCACAAGCCAAGAGTCCAGCACATTACAGCCTGTATTTGCACCTGCTCCCTCAGAAAACCTGTCGACCACAAACTTCTCTTACCCAGAATGATTGCAAAAATCTGAGCCGCACTCTTTGAGTGGATTATCGAATCTCGATTCTTAAGGTTACCAAATAGAGACTCAACAGGGAAAGGAATGATACTACCTCTGTCTTGATGGGTCCTGGTGCAATCACATTAAACCTCATGCCATATTTTGCCCATTCGGAAGCCAGCGATCTCGTCATGTTTTCTACTCCTGCTTTTGAGATTGCGGAGGGAACAACGAAAGCAGCGCCGTGCCTAGAAGATTAGTTTATCATGACAACCATCATGGGAACCGTATGCCTTCTCACCTGGCATAAGGCGTCGTGATGCTCAACACGGTGCATCCTTGGTTGATCTTCATTGCTCTTCTACATACTTCCGTTGTCACATTCATGCTGCCAATCAACACGATATCGACAACTGCTTTTACTGCGTTTGGTGACAGCTGTAGGAAATTGTAAGTGGGTGCGCCTCTCTAATAAATCAGTCGAAATCGTACCCTTTCGGTTGCCATAATGAAGTTGCCTGCTGCGTTATTAACGACGATATTGGGCAACTTACCGAATCTTAATATTGCCGAATTCGTACTAATGCTATTCGATTGCTTATCAACATAATTTTGAAACTTACTTCTTCGTGATCTCATCAATAGACTGTGACACAATAGCTGGATCTTTGACGTCCATGCGGAATCCCTCACACTTGCCTCCAGTTTTGGAACGAATTTCAGCAGCTGTGGCGGCCAAGACATCAGTTCTTCTGAATTTATTATTTTGCATTTGATAGTCGCACACTTCCCTATCTGTGTGGTACAATCAACTAAAAATAAAAACCTTTCGATCGCATCAAATTTTCCTCTTATCGGTAGATGCCATCAGTTTTCGACACTTATTAGTCAAAAAACGAGAGACATTTCGTGAATGTGCCATTATTTTCGACCAGCAAC